TTATGTAACCCTAGGATGAAAAATTGAATCTTCTCGTGAAACAGCTGGCATTCTACAGGAAAAAAGTGTACCCAAGCCATAAACTGAAAATGATTCATTATACTGGGTCCGTGGTTAGAAGAGAAGGAGATTGGATAAAATCCATATTGATGGAAGTCCTCATCCCAGCCTTGTTCTTTAGTTCTCTATCTTATACAGAGGAGACAAATCCAGCAGAGGAAGAAAATCTGGGAAGCAGGTGTTGACTTTAAAAAAAAAAAAATGTATGCAGGCTGCTCCTACTTGCTGGATTGTACCACCACTCTTTTCATCATCTTTGTATCTTCATGTATCTTCTTTTTGCTTGATTCCTATTTTGTCTCCTTTTCTTCTAATAATTTCTTTCAAAAAATTTGTTGCATTATTATCCTGCTAGTTAAGCCAGAATCCTCGAAGTCACCCCTAACTTTCCTCCTTCCCTTTCTCCTAATTCAGCCCACTGGAAAATTATTTTTATTTCTTTTTAAAGATATATTACTTTTATTGGAAAGGCAGATTTACAGAGAGAAAGAAGGACAGACAGATCCTCAATTTGCTGGTTCAATTCCCAAGTGGTCACAATGGCTGGAGCTGAGCTGATCCAAAGCCAGGAGCCAGGAGCTTCTTCCAGGTCTTCCACATGGGTGTAGGATCGCAAGGCTTTGTGTCATCCTCGACTGCTTTCCCAGGCCACAAGTAGAGAGCTGGATGGGAAGTGGAGTATCCAGGATATGAACTGGTGCCTCTATGGGATCCTGGCACATGTAAGGCAAAGATTTAGCCATTAGGTTATTGTGCCGGACCCCATTGGAAAATTCTTTTAAAACATAAAATCTTTCAAAATTACTAGGCTAAAGCTTTATATATATTTTTTCTAGAGGAACTAGTCACCTTGATTTTACCTTTGAACTATTCCAAATAAGTCTTTGCTGTAATAAAGGAGCATTTTAGAATAGTAACTAAGCTAAACTATACATCATTTTAAAGCATCAGATGAGTTCACACAGGGCTTGTGATGGTGAATTTCACGTGTAAATTTATTGGGTTAAAGATTGGCTGACAGCAGGTGAAAAGTTACTGCTGAGTGTGTCTGATTGATATCTGAATCAGTAAACTGCATGACTCACTCTCATTAATAGAGGTGGGTACTACCCAATAGCTTGAAGGCCACAAACTTGATGGAGGAAGAACAAACTAGTGCTTGGAGCTCAGATTCTGAACCTGTGGGTTTTCTGGTTCTCAAGTCTTTGGATTCAGATTGTGTTACACTATTGGCTTTCCTGAAGATTGGGGTGATTCTCAGCCCCTTCACCTGATACTGTGGGTATTTAATTCTTATGAGGTCATAGTGATGGCTTATTGGTTCTTTCTACATCTGGGATTGTAGGATTAATTTGAACATATACCGTGCACCAGACACTAATTTCAAATTCTTCTGAATGTGCATGTGTCACTTTAATCAAAGTTGATATCAATATTGCTGTTTTAGTGTTAGATTTATCCCAGGAGGTAGAATATTGCAAAAATCAGAAGGCAAGCCTTGTATATTATTGCTACTATCACAATTGATCATGCTGTCCCACACTGTAATCGTGGATTTATTTCTCATTTTAAATGGCTAAATATGTAGCATGCATTGAATCTGATGCTTCACATAATTTATTGCTGAACATATGCTAGATTGCCTATCCACCACAATGATATTAGCAGTCTCATTTCTTGATACATGGTCACTGTCCAATTTTTTAAAATCTGGCATCTATCATAGACTTCTCTTTCCAATAAAGATTTCTAAATTCTAATATTTTGGACATTGGAAACAAGTTGCTCTTGGGTGAAGTTTTTAACAATTTATTAAAATAGTCTCCCTCTATAAAGATGAACTACTCTGTGAGTCTGGACAAGTGGAGATTTCCTTAAAATATTGTACAATTACCAAAGCAGAACAGAGTAAGTTATGCCACCATGTAAGCAAACTAGGATTAAAAACTTTCCTTACATGGATAAATCATGACTTGGAATATGAAGGAAATCACACAAATCTCACTGTTGGAGTATTAAAATTGACATTTTGAGGGCCCTGCGGTGTGGCCTAGCAGCTAAAGTCCTTGCCTTGAATGCGCCAGGATCCCATATCAGCACCGGTTCTAGTCTCAACAGCCCCACTTCCCATCCAGCTCCCTGCTTGTGGCCTGGGAAAGCAGTCAGGACGGCCCAAAGCTTTGGGACCCTGTACTCGCATTCCCAGCTTCGGACCAGCCGTTGTGCTCACTTGCGGAGTGAATCATTGGACGGAGGATCTTCCTCTCTGTATATCTGGCTTTGTAATAAAAATAAACAAATCTTTTTTAAAAATGACATTTTGAGAAGTCATACTAAAGATAAAATCTAAAAGTCAATTGGAGATTCTATAAGAATGGGGAGAAGCATCTCCGACACGGAGATTAATACACTTAAATGGCATTTTTCCTGGTAGTTGGAGCACAGTGGAAGAGACTATGTGTGCTATCAGGTGGTTCTGAGGGGAAACGCACAGTGATGACCATGAAGGATATTATGGGTAATCTCAGGAAATTTTGTTTTTAACTTAATAGAAAAGGAACAAACAGTGGAGATTTTAAGTTAGGGAAACCTTATGATCAACTTAGATAAATTTTTTGCTTGATGGAAAAAGTGTAATGGACAAAATTGAAAACACAGTGCTAATTAAGGCAATGTATTCTACACGTGAAATAGACATACTAATGGAGATGAAGGCAAGTGCATAATTTGAGAGATATTTAGGAAGTATGATTGAAAGTAAGGAAGTATGAGGGATTCTTAAAAGATCATGGGAGGGCTCGGCACGATGGCACACTGGTTAAGATCCTCGCCTTGCACGCCCGGGATCCCATATGGACGCCAGTTCTAATCCCGGCAGCCCCGCTTCCCTTCCAGCTCCCTGCCTGTGGCCCAGGAAAGCATTCGAGGACGGCCCAAAGCTTTGGGACCCTGCACCCGCGTGGGAGACCTGGAAGAGGCTCCTGGCTTTGGACCAGCATAGCATCGGCCGTTGCGCTCACTTGAGGGTGAATCATTGGACGGAAGATCTTCCTCTCTGTCTCTCCTCCTCTCTGTATAACCGCCTTTCCAATTAAAAAAAAAAAAATGGGAAAGAAATACTATGAAAAAGCTATGCTAAGACTTTGATTTTTGCATCATAAGAATTTCATTTTTAAAAATCTACTTTTCCATGTAGTTTTTTGAAGTACACTTCTAATTAAAACATAGAAGGAGAAGCCAGAAGAATGGAATAAAGGAAGAAATAAGAAGAGAAGGAGGAAGACAAAACAAGAGAAGGAAGGGATTAGTCAAGGATGACCGTGGGGTCTCCTTATGGGTTTCTCCAAGAAAAGAATATCACTCAGTCACAGAATCACTGATGGCTAGGCATTACATCATGTGTTTCCCAGTAATTCAATGTATACTTTCGTAGCTTTCAGTTTGTGAAGCTCAATTGCAAATATTTCACTTTAGCCTGATGGTGTTTTTTTTAAAAATGTATTCATTTATTTGATAGAATTACAGAGAGAGGGAGGGAAGAGAGGGACAGGAAGAGTATCTTCCACTCACTGGTTCACTCCTTAGATGGCTGTAATTGCCAAGGCTATTGCAGATCGAAATCAGAAACCAGGAGCTTTTTCTGGTAGGAGTAATTACTTGTGTTTACTAAAAAAAAAAAAAAAAGTGTGACAAAAGGGCTAGAATTTAGATGAAACACAATGTATTGAAAGAAGAAAAATCTCAGGATCCCAGTAAAGGTTTCCAAATTGTTAAAAGAGATATTTAACTATATTTCCATTGAACTAAATCCTTCTCATATATTGTTATAAGGAAGCCATTGAAAGATTAAAATGAAAATTCATTTAAACCATTGTTTCATGTGAGAACTGCTTTTCAACTGTGCTGGTGTGTAGGTATGTGAAATTCTCAAGGAATGTCCATCTGGTATGGAAAGACTCAAGAGCGACTCAAATAAATGGAGGAACAAATTGCAAATGAATCTTACCTGAAAGCTAAAACGTGTGTGTTTTGCCTATGACCAGATTTCTCACCTCAACTGGCTTCATATGAGTATCATGTATATTGCCGCTGAAAATCAGGTTCACTCATGAAATATTTTTAAATATATGTATTTTGAAATCTAAGTAATCTATCTAGTAATGTAAATATTGGGAAAAAAAAGCTTTTTCTTGTGTAAAATATGAGAGAACAAAGCATTCCTAATGGACTGTCTCTGTGTTGTTAGTTCTTACTCTTACCTACATGTTAGAAAAATAAGTCTAAGTATGGACCTTGTTGTAAAATAGGTTAAAGCAGCCACCTGTTACATTGGCAAAGTATTTTAGAGTACCCATTTGATTCCGGGCCACCCTATTTCCAATCTGTCTCTCTCCAATACACTTGATGCAAAAATTACCTAAATACTTGGGCTCCAACAACTCTAGTGAAAGATGTAGTTGTGAATTCAAGCTGCTAGATTCATCTTAGTCCCATTCCAGCTGTTGTGGCCACTTAGGGAATGAAGCGCTGGATGAAAATTTTCTTTCCCTGTCTCTCTTTCTTAACTTTTTTTGCCTTTAAAGTGAATAAAATGTATTGGAAGAAAGAGTAGTTCTAAATTTCTTATTTCCAAAGATAAATATTTCTTGCCTGCTTTGTTAGATCTCACGTAGCACATGGCCATCGTCAGGTGATTGTTTTATTTACAACAGATAATACGGATACACATGAATAACATGTATATAAACTTCCATAAGTGTGGATCAGAAATCAACGAGTTGTTACTAAGTTGTACAGACTGAGCACACCGTCTAAACAATTTAAGCTTATTTACATCCCCTCTTGCCATTCCACTGATAATAAACATTTGGGAGAAGGATGTTCCTTTAAAATTTCTTAAAATTTAGAAAGCAGGAAATTTTAACCGCATCATGTCTTACCTGGCTTAAGATGGGCAAATGGGATTTCACCAGTGAGAAGTTCCCACAGACACAGAGCGTAGCTGAAGACGTCAGCTTTGATGGTGTACCGTGTGCACTGCGTGAACACTTCCGGGGCCATCCAGCGGAGATTCTGTTCATCAGGAAACATTGATAGGCTTAGGTCTTCAACCGAAGATCAGCGCTGCTTTTAGGCATCATAAAGTATGCTGACACTCTCACAAGATATAAACAAAACATAGCATAGATATTGCTTTCAGTGTGTGCAACAAATTGCTACGTTAAGAAATATCTAATGTGAATACTGAGGTTTTCAGTTTTTCAAAGAACATTTTTAAAAAAATATTCTAAAGATGAATGATCCTGCCCAAATGATCTCAAATTCTACTCTCCAAGTAATTTTACATTTATAAAATGATGATAACAGAAGCATTTTTGTTTGTGAGCATCTTTCCGCTAGAAGCTATTACATATTTCAGAAGAGCCATCCAAGGATCCATCCAGAAACGTAATGCTTCTCTGGCAGTGAGTCAGCACTGGGGGAGGCACCGTCCCTCACTTAGGTGCTAAGGTTTAGGGAATCGTTAATTAGAAAACACTGCCTTCATCTCTGAGGAAAGACCATATGAAATGCCAAGAATATTCCTGTGAAGTAGATTTTTCATCAGCAGGGCCAGATATATCACATTTCCCTTGATGGTTCATTTCTCAATGTTGTTTATACAATATTACAGAAATGAAGTCAATAAAATGGTCCAATTTTTAGTTTCAAAATTTTATTCTCAAGTTTCATATGACATTATTTATGTTATTTTCATGCGCATTTACATAGTCCTTATTTTAAAAATAGCTTCCTATTCTTTGATGAAAATGTACAATTGTTTTTTTGTTGTAGTCTGGAGAACAAAACATAGGTTTTGAGTTAGGAGATTAAAATCCTAATTTGGTTTCTGTCATTGATCGGGTAGCTTGGGGCACAGGTCTATTTTATTCTTGAACTTTAAATTTCTCAAGGACAAAACAGATGGATAAGAACTCCTGCAGTTTTAAAATCCCATGGTTCTATATTGCATGAATGACAAGTATCTTTGTAGTCTCACTGGAAGACAAAATGCTTTTTTTTTTTAATTACTCTAAAATCCTTGTGTAGTGCTGGTTGCTGGTTATTCTTTTGAAATGTCTACCTTATTTTGAAATCATGCATAATTACAGCTTTCTAAGAATATCTTTATTCTGAGTATATTGCTCATGTACAATTCTCCCACATGAGCTTTTACATTCCAAATAGCTCCATTTATGAAATAGATTAGGCATTGTGTCACAACACTGCCTAAGTGGGAGTAGGCCCTGAGTATGCCCATTTTTTTTTGCCTAAGACTATCACAGAGTAATTAGGGAACTTTCAGAAGGCCCCGTAATCAGTAAGAACTAAAATAACTCCCAAAATAGATCCAAAATAGTAGTACTGTGCTTAAAGACTAAGTTATCAGATAGAAGAATTAATGTTACTTGGGCTGTTGGTGAAATTCAATTCCATTGAACTGAATTTAGTCACAGTCTCTGTTAGCTTCATTTTAGAATCACCTGGAGGAACATTTAAAAAGGAACAGCCTCCCAAGATCAACCCCAGGCCATGGAATCATAATTTCTAGGCATGGGATTCAGACATTACACTTTTCAAGGTTCTAAAGTGATTTAATGTGCAGCCAGTCTTGGAACTACTGAATTGTCTGCCTCTGTGTCCCAGGTCCTCGGTGAGATTAGTGCATACTGTCTGAAAAGAAATCACTCTTCTTGTCACTCTATCTCATATCTGCCCACCTTCTTTGCTTGCTTTGCTCTAGCATTTCAGCTTTGAACACACGAAGGACTCTTCTGCACACGTCTTGGCACTCAGCATTTTAGCATCTGTCTCATCTTATTATATCTTATACTTCTTTTTCACCTTTTCTAAATAGCATTTACTCTGTTTTTACTTTTCCCTCCTTGTCACTAATGTATATTCCATTGATTTATTCAGTTTCTGTCTCCTTTATTTGGAATATTAGCTCCAGGGATACAATGCTTTTATTTATTTTTTTCTGAGCTACCTACCATTCTCTACATAACGTCTAATATCTAGTTTTGTATAGATTCCAGAGTATTTGTTGAATGAATGAATGAAAGCTAACTGGGGAAACCAGTATGCATAACGTTGGTAATAACATAACATTGTCCAGCATGTGGTTACTGTTTATCTATCGTTCTTTCTTACGTCTGATTGTTTGTTTCTTACTCATTGCCAGACAACATTGCTAAGCAATTTGAACTTCTGGTGAGTCAGCTGTTACTGCTTCCCCACTACATTTGCTCATGCTTTCAACTGCCTGGTACGTGCTTGCATCCTCCCTGTCATCTGATTAACATCTTTCCACGTCACCTGGTCTCTCATGATGTTCCGTCATGATGTTGTGTCATGCCTCAGCTACTGAACTTCCACACTACTTTAAGGCTATCTTCCTATTACTATTTTTCCCCACTAGAAATTTATCTTCTTAAGGTCAAACACTTTATTCCTGTTTTGCATCTCTTGTGAAATACTTGACACGTGGTCAGCTCTCAATAAATGCCTTATGAATGAAAAAAATAACAGCAAAACCACGCAAAATGCTACAGAATTAGAAAGAAACATGCTGAAAAAGGGTGCAGGTTATAGAAGCAACATGCTGTAAATGGGTAAAATTTACGTGATCCTTGAAGGATGAGTAACCCTGCTCCAGACAGATCAAAAGAAAAAAAGGCTCTGCCAGCTGAGGACATTGCGCTGGCAAAGTCCTAGGGATGCAACAGTGAAGGGCACATTTGAATAACGACCGGTGTTTTTTTGTGCAAGGGCATAGGAAATCTTTGAAAACCTGTGGTATAGAAAGAATTCACATAGAAGGGACTCAAGAACAGACTGAGGAAAGCAGGAGTTTAGGCAATGGCATTAGCATTTTAGCTGGTGGACACTGGAGCATTACTGAGGGTTTATGAAAAGAGGGTAAGAGTCAGAAGAGCATTGATTGGCTGATGTCGCAAAGAATGAATTGCATGAGAGCAGAAGAGCTAAAAGCCAATTGCAGAAGTTCAGAAATAAATTATGAGTATCTGAACTAAGCAATGGGAAATGTGAGCTTTGAAAATTTAAACAAACAGAAAAGCCCTCCAAGTAAAAAGAAAGAACAAAAGAGCCATAGAAGGTGATTGAGTAGTGTGTAAGTGAAAGCAGTCGAAGAAAGGAGTGAAAAATTATCCTAAGCTTTGGTAATTAGATACTGCAGGTCATCCAGAAATAGAAGTATATCTATTGAAGGGGGACAGATTCGCAGACTGAAGGAGAGGACAAGTAATGAATTTAATTGCAGGCATTTTGAAGGCAAACAGCTTTGTTTCAGATGTTATAATTTATATTTTATTTAAATGTTAATGCTTGGTTATACTACTTATTATCATAGAATGTTAAAGGAAAGATATGAATAGTTAACACACTGGTGAACTAATTTTATAGTCAGTTACCTTTTAAATGTTAACTCTACAACTGAATAAAGTGATCTAAGCATGAAAAGCAATTATCTGTGCCTGCCATATGCTTTGCAGTTACTTATTCAACATATTCTGCATTATTTTATCCACAATATTATCCAAATATATGTCTTATATCTCTAGCAAAAACTTGAAATTGTTCTTTTATGGAGCTACTGGAAATAAAAATACAGAACTTTATCTTGCCACTGAGGCTAAGACATTTCTTCCAGTTAAAGCTATTTTCATCTTACTTCCCCACACGCTGAGTTTACACATTTTAATTGTTTTATAATTACAGGGAACACCAGTAGCAGCATACCCCTGGTTGTTTTGTCATGTTATCTTCATCCAGAGACTGTAGAAATCTTGATTCTGAGGGGAAGAGGAAACAAGTTCATGTCAATGAAAATATCTCTCAAAGTTAAGTAGTAGAGCTAAATTTCTGAAACCTCAAGAAACTTCTACCTCATTCAAAGTGTCATATCCTTTCCTTGCGGTGGAGATATAAAAGAAAAAACTAAAAGCATCTCATGTGTTTTTGAAATTCAAGGTCATTACAATTTGAATAAATATATTGGTTAGTGTGAAATCTGAATAGTGCAAACAAAGAATGAAGAAGGAAGCCAAAGTTATTTGGGTTTTATTCATGGAAATCTTACCTCCAAAATCTGCCACCACAGCATGACCATCCTCATAAAGAAGAATATTGTGACTGCAGAAAAAGTAAAATTTTAGTACTGTTTATTATTTCCTGGTCCTAATGATACATCAAGGAGAAAAACAGTCATCATTTGCTTACTGCAGAGACTGAAGAACCACCCCAATAGGTTAACTGATTTTCTTAGTTTTACAAATTTGAGTCATTCACAAAATGTGTTCGTGTTCTATCTGTGGTTAAAATATAAAGAATTCCTATTTTAGGTCAACCCTCATCAACATGTCAAAAAATTCATAAGCCAAAGGCTAATTTTTCAGCTCCTTGTGATTCAGCTATGGCTACAGGCAAGGAGTAAGAGGTGGTCCAAACACATTCAAATTAAGACAACCAACCTGCTGGAGTCCTGGGCACGAGCACAGATCAAGGCTAGAGCCTGAGATGAGTACAGTTAAAGAACGCTTTCTGGAAAATGTGTTAGGCAGAACACACATTCTAACTACACCCTCAGGTCAGGAAGGTTTTTGTTTGTTTGTTTGTTGTTTTTTCAGATTTGTCAAATCTGTTTGAAAGGCAGAATTACAGAGATCTTCTATCCACTAGCTCATGTCCCAAGTGGTGACAATGGCTAAGCAGGAGAAGGGAACTACAACTGGGCCTATGATGTGGGTAACAGAGGTCCAAGAATCAAACTGTTATCTGCTGCTTTCCCTAGCATGTCTGTAAGAAGCTGGATTGGAACTGCCAGAACTCAGCTGGCATTCTTATGGAATGCTGATGTTGCAGGTGGCAGGTTAAACCATTATGCCACATGCTGGCATCCAAAAGAGTGTTTAAGTTGGTGTAATGAGTCCAGTTAAATAACATTTTGACATTTTTAAGAACAAAAGGGTAAGGGTCATACAAGTGACCCACAGTGCACACACATGCAAACACACATAGACACACACAAGAAGCAACAAGGTATGCTCAAAAACTTGACTATGGTAATCATTTCAAAATCTATATATATATCACTGTCTCATTGAGCATGGCAAACGCATGCAATTTTTGTCAATTATATCTGAATCCATTTTGAAAAGATAAAGAGTATATTTTCAGTAAGTATTTCAAAGCCATTTTTAATTCCCATTGATGAATTAAATTGTGGAATATCTGGGGTCAGCATAAGGGAATCCAAAGTTTTCTTTGAATATATATTATTATATGTGTATTGCCCATGAATTATTTCAGCATTAAGAAATCCTTGATGGGTTTCCATTAATGCATAGAAGCATAGGTTAGTGAGCAAACAGGGAAAGCCTGAGCATACAGTGTATGGTGAGACTAGACAGGAAGGAATATGTGGGAGAAGAATCACATGTTGGAGGAAGATCTTGGCAAAGAGTACATTAGGGTGCGTGGTGTACATAAGAGGAATTATAATAAGAATATACTTATTAAATTGGAAAATACCTGTGGAGAATAATAGGGAAATCATTGTGTAAAATGATATTGAACTGTTAGGGAATTTGAAAGCTAGAGAAGAATTCTGTATTTGTTTAAAAAGATAATTAAGAAGCTCGCCCAGGTTGTATGGATAGTGTAAAATGCTCTGACAGCAGAAAGAATGCTATTCAAGAGTGATTTGACCTACACTTACTGCCAACTATAATTTCATAATATATGCAGTTAGAAAATGCTGAATTATGACAAGCCTAGGAATTTTTATGAGCAAGATGGTTGCTCAGGGCCCTGTGTTCTAGCCTAGCAGCGAAAGTCCTCACCTGGCATTAGCGTGGGATCTTATATGGATGCCAGTTCTAATCCTGGCAGCCCTGCTTCCCATCCAGCTCCCTGCTTATGGCCTGGGAAAGCAGTCGAGGACGGCCCAAAGCCTTGAGACCCTGCACCCACATGGGAGATACAAAAGATGCTTCTAGTTCCTGGCTTGGATGGGCTCAGCTCCAGCTATTGTGGTCACTTGGAGAGTGAACCAGTGGACAGAAGATCTTCCTCTCTGTCTCTCCTCTCTCTATATATCTAACTTTCTAATAAAAAATAAATGAATCTTTATTTTTTAAAAAAAGGTAGTTGTTGGCTTGGGGGGCTATGGAATTTGAATGACATCAATTTTGTTTGGCAACATTAAATTACCAAAAATAAGATTAACACTTCTCAGATTGGCAAATCAAACAAGAGTATAGGGACATAGGAAAATCTGAGTTCACATTAATGATGTCAAATATGAAAATGATGCTGCAGAATGGAGGAATGCTAGAAATTCCCTTACTTCAGCAGTTCGTTCTTTCAGTCCTTTGGATTTTTCTCTATCTTCTGTAACCATTTACTAATGAGGAAAATGATGTTTAGAAGCATGTTCATGACATTTCCATTCATCTTTTAAGTAGGTGCTAAGCCTTACATCGTATCTGGACTGAGAAAGTGGAAAGGAAGATAGAGAGTGACTGGTCAAAACTGACAGATTCTCTGTGCAATCAGGGAGAACACAGGGCCCTGGTGACCATAATCTTCAAAGTCACTTTTTTAAGTCAGAGAGGCTATACAAAGGGTTAATGACAGTATGATTGAGGAAACCTACTTAAGGTGATGAATTCATGGTCAAAAGTCAAAGCTAACTATGACAACAGAAGTGGTGTGATTACAGTTGGTGATGTGTTCAAGAGTTTATTATCGACAGATGTCACAAGTTACAAGTTTTTAAAAGACTGAAAATTATTGGGTTGGAATCAGTAACAGAGAATGTGGCACTATAGAGAGAAGGGAGTAAATACTGAGTGAGGATCTTATATGGGAAAGTCCTTGTGTGTTCAACATTTGTACATTATTTATGGTGTAAGTATTTGGCTGATTTTATGAATGGATATTTGAGGCTCCCAGAGATTATTTCAGATGTGCAATGAAAGAGCTGGAAAAAGTGAAGCAGCACTAGAATTTAGGGCTTCAAAATCTGCGGATTTTAGAAGCTGGCTCTCATGTCAGATCCCAAGAAGAAGCCATTTCTGTTTAAAAGTCTGCACAAAAATGCAAAAAAAAAAAAAAAAAAACAAAATCAGACCTGGTTAAAGGAAGATTGAATAGGTGGTGCCAAAATATCCTCTGAGTGTAAAATGATTGGGACTGAAATCATCAAGATAAAAAAAAGGTGTAAGTCCAGTACATTTTTGCAACACCAAGACACTACCAGCAAAGATACACCTCTCTCCCTTCAAGAGCTTGGTTGATGTGTCAGGAGCTCTATAAAGAAAACACAAGTGAATGAGGAAACTGGAATTGTGTTTTGATTTGGGAAATAGAGCAGGCGTATTATGAGTTACTTTCATCAGGACCACAGGAAGGATTATAAAGAAGCATGATGGGGATTTCAAATCCTCTTTTCCTCTCAAGATCATCCATGAAATTTGTTTCTGTTTGGTTTGTTCTAAAATCTGGGGAAAGTAGTTTTCTATGTACTACATTTTGGAACCCTTCATGCACGCTGGAAACAGTCCTTTGAGCTGAACTGTTCTGTTTTGAGTTTGGCAATTAAAATTCATCCATTTTTAGTTAAACTAGAACTTAACTTCAAGTCCTGCCATCTGAGGACAGGAAACGAGAAGTTAGGTACTAGAGGCTATGCAGAAGGAAAGAGGAAAACAGTGAACACATGCTGTAACATACAACATGTACACGTGAGTCACGCTCTCACACAGAATAACTGCACACATATGTTACCAATGCTTCAGGAAAGTCTTTAAGGCTGAAATGCCACTCAAGAATGCTGTCCGGACAACATGTGTCTTGGTACAGAGCTTTAATGAAAGTTAAGTAGGTGACGATCAATGGATCCTTTGTCTTTACAAAATTACATAAAAACTTTAATTAATTAATCCGTGTGTGTGTGCATCTGTGTGTGAGACAGAGGGCAGGAAAAGAGAGAGAGAAAGAGAGAGAAAGAAATGATTTCCAATGGTTTATTGTCCAACTACTTTCCAAAGCCTAGGGCACAGTCTAGATGTAGCCTGGAGCTGAGAACTCAATCCAGATCTCCCGCAGGTGCAAAGACTCTATCCCTTGAGCTTTCACTGCTGCCTCCATGCACATGCCAGATCAGAAAGCTGGAATAAAGATCAGAGCCAAAACCCATAGCCAGGCACTCTTATATGACATGTTGGCATGCCAAGCTATGATAAATTTCACACTAGAAGGTTGTTTTTTTTTTACCATTTTTGGATTTCACATTTTGATTTCATTTAAATAATTTTTTTCTAAACATCCATGCTACTTACTAACATGTAATTTTGCCATGCCACATCAGCCTTATACTCAAAAACAAATAGCTTAGTCACGTAGTGTGATGGGTGGAGCTTGCAATGTTAGCTGGTGGAAGCACTTGTTGCTACCTGTGCTTTCCCAGATTTATAGAAGAAAAAGCATGATAAAAAGGTGTTCACTTTGTTTTATCTCTTCCTATCTCTTGCCCCTTATTCTCCTTGAACCTTCTCCATGAATGGTTGGACTTGGGCATGAGTGGCAGCTCAACCAATGGTTGATACAAGTTACTACCCCACCTGTGATGGCTGAGTTCTGTACTAGAGACTGCAGTCTGAATGGAAAAGGGATGCGAGATAAACGGAAGAAAGATTTTAAAGTGGGTTTCACTTGGAGAGACCTGCGGAAAAGCAGTGAATATCAGAATAAATTAATAATATCAAATATCAAGCAAGTGGAAGAAATAGTATAAGATATAGTGTCAGTGCTGTGGAATTATGAGCTACTACATTGATATTGATGATTATCAGTACACACAGAAATATTTGTATAACTTGAATGCAAATGTGCTTTGTAAACTATTATTTCTTTGTTAAGTATTAAGTGATGAGTTTTGAAAGCAAAATGATTTCCTGACAAAGTCCCTGAAAAACTGCTTTCATGTGAAATAATTCAACTCACTGTTACCTAGAGTCTCCTCTCTTTCCTTCCTCATTGCATGATAATGAAAAATTATTGATGTTTTGATTGAATGACTGCATTTCACCTACAGCGATTTTTGTGCCTGTGACTGCATTGATATCACA